GGGAGTCTGCTTCTTCCTCTGACCCTCCCCCCTCTCATGTGCTTGCTCTCTCTCATTCTCTCTCTCTCAAATAAATAAATAAAATCTTTAAAAAAAGAAAAAAAAAAGAAATTGCTGGAGGCTACCTGCTGGGTACCGCAGAGGACTTCAGTAGAATGACACCATCATCCACCACCTCCCCCACCTCCACGGAGATGCCATGAGGCTGAACTCCTCGTTTGTTCAGTAACACTTTTTCGAGCAGTTTTAGGTTTTCAAAAAAACTGAGCGAAAAGCAAAGAGAGTTCCCACATAAACCTTCACCCCGCACCCCTACTTTTAACATCTCAGTGTGGTACACAGGTTTATAATTGATGAACCCAATATTAGTACATTGTTATTAACTCAAATCCATAGTTTAAGGCAGGGTTCATTCTGTGTTTTGTATTCTGTGGGCTTTGATAAATGTATAAGGCCATGTATCCACCATTACAGTATCATACAGACTCATAGTTTCACTGCCCGAAAATCCCTGTGCTCCCCCTATTTATCCCTCCTCTTTCCCCAGTAACTCTGGCCACCACTGATCTTTTTACTGTCTCTAATTCTGCCTTTTCCAGAATGTCAGATAGTTGGGAGTCCTATAGTAGGTAGCCTTTCAGATTGACCTCCTTCGCTTTTTTTAAACCACATTTTAGTTTCTAGATTCTAGGCTCATAAATTACCAAATACATCTTCTGGTAGTAAGATAAACTGTATCAGTCTGGGAAAAATGGCTAGTGTGTATGGTGGTGATAAGAGGAAAACATTCTTCCGTAGGAAGAAGTCTCTCGATGCTGAAACTGCAGAATGACCCAAACAGAGTTTACAGCTGGGTTAAAATAACTGTATTTTCCCAAGCCATAACTCTGAACAGGGTATAAAATATGGGTGGCTATCTCCTTATGGTATGGACAACTTCCTGAGATTTCTGGACAGTGCTGAAGAGACACGCATTGGGAGCATCTGGTATCTGAAGCTTAAAAAAAAAAACCCAAAAAACGAAAATGATCAAATCTTTATATTCTATGACTCTCCATCTTCATTTATCGAACAGAGACAGTTCCTCACACGAAAATCTGGTATGGATATGAAGCATATAGCCTCCTTAAATTAGCATTGGTATTTGAGAAAATGTGATCGTCCTTTCCTTGGATAAGTAAATTCTTTCTTCAAATACTTGTGATCTGGAGGGTTGATTTCCCATGCATCAGACACACAGCTGTGTTACCAAAATCATTCTCGAAGTAGCTCTCCCTTGCTGGTTGTCTGTTTATAAAGTAAATAAGCTTTCAGTTCATTTACTCCCTTGCTCTTACTTAAAGGCAAGCCATGAACTTCTACAGACACACAAAGTACAAGTTACCCCATGCTCATTAAGTCCTCTGAGGGTGGGGAGCTGAGAGTTTGCAGAGCTCAGCATTTCGCTGACTTCTCAACAGCAGGACAAACTACTGAATTTTCTTCAGGCCAAAGATGTTCTGTGCCTTCTCTTAACCAACAAGTACCAAGGAGAAAGAATGAACTGATCTGTGGTCTTTCTATAAACTCCATCCCTTGTTCCCCTACCTCTCCAGCCAGAATCCTTTGTTTTCAATTCTTGCTCAACCTACTTAAATCTTTTACATGGAAATTCTTTCCCCAAACAGTACCCTGGGACCCCGGCAGCCCCGTTCCACATTTTATCATGGTGGCCTTGTCCTGCACCATTAACTCCCTCTGAGAGCCCAGTGCTAGTGCAGGGAGCTGGCTCACTGCGGTGCTCAGGCTCCGCTGCTGGGGGCGTGGCCTCCAGAGCATCCCTTGCCGGGCTGTGGCTTCTCCAGGGCCTTCCCAATGGAGTGGGTCCCAGGGCATTTATATCATTTTTAGCTTTGGTTAGAGGCTGGGAAAAGGAAACCACTGGCACCATTCTGGATAGGGTGAGGAAAGTTTTGCCCTCACATTTGGCCTCTTTCTTAAATTTCGTTTTTCTGACTTCAATGCAGGATCAGCCGTGGCTTTTACGGGGCTCCTGGGAAGAAGCAAGGGATGCTGAATAATAGCAACAGGTAGGCCGTGCCCGGCACATGGTAGGCGCCGTGCCACTGTGAGCCATGGTTTCAAACGCTGACTGAAGGATCCGTCCCATTGATTGCTGAAATCAGGAAAACAAATTAAATGCTCATTTTGAAAAGGCCTGAAATGGGGTAGATCCAGACTCAGCTCATGGAATTTACCTTTTAAGGGGTAAAAGGGAAGCATTCTCTTTGCTTAATCTAAACTTTTGGAAAGAACTTTTTCTGGACAACTCAGTCAAATCACTGGTAGAAGTTAAAAAAGGAGGGACGCCTGGGTGGCTCAGTCGTTAAGCGTCTGCCTTCGGCTCAGGTCATGGTCCCAGGGTCCTGGGATCGAGCCCCTCGTCGGACTCCCTCAGCGGGAAGCCTGCTTCTCCCTCTCCCACTCCCCCTGCTTGTGTTCCCTCTCTCGCTGTGTCTCTCTCTGTCAAATAAATAAATAAAGTCTTAAAAAAAGAAGTTAAAAAAGGAATACTAGGGACTCAGCAAGGGGCATTTTGGAAAGTACAGGCAGTCCTTAAATCAGTAATATCATAACCCCGTCTCACCTGCAGGGGAGATGTTCCAACACCCCCAGTGGACGCCTGAAACTAGAGATAGGACCGAACCCTATATATACTATGTTTTTCCTATATATACTTACTCATGATAAAGTTTACTTTATAAATTAGGCTCAGTCAGATTAACCATCACTAACAATAAAGTAGAACAATTATAACAATATAATAAAAGGTGAGTGTGGTCTCTCTCTCTCAAAATATATTATTATACTGGGCTCACTCTTTTTTTTTTAAGAATTTAAGTAATATCTACACCCAATGTGGGGCCTGAACTCATGACCCAGCCGTGAGATGGAGAGTCCCAGGTCCCACCGACTGAGCCAGCCAGGTACCCCTGTCCTCACTCACTCTTCTCGTGATGACGTAAGACGAGGAAATGCCTACGTGAGGAGATGACGTGAGGTGAGCGACGCAGGCACTGGGACGTGCTATTAGGCTACCACTGACCTTCTAACGTTGTGTCCGGAGGAGGTGCATCTGCTTCCAGACCTGAGGGGACATGAGTCACCAAAACTGCATAAAGGAAAACCTCAGGTAAGGAGGAACTACTTTACATTGTGCTCTAGGGATTCACCCAGAAGTTGGCTCTTGAAAGCACAAAATGAATTTCATTTTTTCTCATGGAAACAGCATTACAAACGATGGCACGTTTCCCAGGTTTATCTAAAAAAGCTATTTCACCACTGGATCCATCCAAGCGACTGGACTACCATGCTAAAAGCACTAGAAACCCCTTGAATATTTGTCTACGGGGCAAAATGGTCCTTAATATGGTCCTAATTTACACATTCTTCTATGCATTTATTCATTTAATGGTCATTCATTAAGCTTTATGTGCCACGCACTACACTAGGCACCAGGGAGCCCGAGATTAATATGACAAAGTCCCCTTTTGCATTAAGACAGATGCAAAAGGATCATGGTAACACAACATGCTAAGGACAGTAATACGGCCAGCCACAGCGTACTACGGGGGTGCAGCGGATGGGAGGTGATCTCAGGGTGGGGGTGCGGCACTGAGGGAAGACTTCTCAGAGGGGATGGAGGTGAAGAGAATTCATCTAGAAGGAGCAGGAGCTCACCAGGTGAAGGATGGAAATGTGGACAAAGGTGTTCTCTGACTCTCAAAACACCCTCACATCTCTCTAACTTATCTCTGTGGTGCCCCACTCCATCTTAGACACCCCCACAAAGGCCCCTTGAGCGCCAAATGGCCTGCCTTCCCCCAGTCCCCAAACAAGTGTCCCACGTCCTCGGCTGTTTCAATGTGGAGTCAGAAGAGTAATCTGGTGGAACTCGGGTGCACGGCCCTGTATGACCACAGTCTCGCCCAGGGGTGCTCAGAGCTGGGGGCACACCATCACCCATGCAGCTGTGACAACACAGTTGTGGAGACGCCAATGCCCGGGGCCACCCCCGCAGACATTCTGACCTTACTGCTCTGATGGGGGCCCCGGCACTGGAGTGTTTAGAACTTCCAAAAACTGGTGTGTCCAGGGCTGATGACCCTGGATTCTTCCAGAGATAACTGCATTATTGAATTGATCTGGATTTACTATTATATGCCAAAAGGAGATTACAAAAGCAAAACACCTACTCCACCCCTCCAAAAAATGGTTTTCACTTCTGAATTCCCTTTAGTGTGCTTCCAATCATATCCTTGTTTTTTATGAATCACAGGATTTATACAATTTTGCTTCTGCTTTCCCCCCAATCATTAATAAAACCATCCCATGTTGTTTATGTTTTAAAATGAAATGATGGGGCTTCTAACCATTATTTCTGTAACCATACCACTGGGATAATTAGGAGCTTTCCAAACTGGGGGAACATGAATGCTATTGCAATAAACACCTTCACACGCAAGACCTCCTTCGCTTGGATGTGTTCATTAGAAAATATCAGGCAGTGTAACCCAGGCGAGGGAAAATGTTTATGATATGGTTGGGGTGGGGGGAGACTGTGGCCCCCAGGAGAGGAATCCAAGGCAAAGGCTTCATCCAACCTCTTTTCTTCCCCGTCTTTACTCCAGCTTACGCTGCTTTTCACAGCTTATTTCTCCCAGCGGCACTCTGTTTCTCACGTAACTTGAATCATTTCTTTTTCTTCCAACTCTTATGCAGCCACTGGGCAGGCTGGGCTCTGGGCAGCCATGAAGGTCCCCCTGCTGAAGGAGGTCCTCCTTCCTGCTCCCCCACTAAGGCCTGGCTTGTACCAATCTCAGGGCTCTCCTGTCTGGATTCAGCCTGATTTGGGGGCAGGATTGTAGAGTTTTTCCATCCATTCATCGCTGCCCCTTTAGGACAGGCACAAGATACTTGTGGAATTTCCTGACATCTTCAAAATATGCTGGAAGTAGCTTTCTGTAAAGGGCATTAGTCAGGCCATGTTTGTTTGCTGATTCCAGCCTACCCTCTTGCTTGCTCAGAGGATAGAACTCTAACTTCACATTCTTAAGTCAGAAAAAACTGAATTCAATTACTTTCTTGAGCTTCAACGAAAGAGAAAGTTTGTCTCATCCAAGTAAGTAGTGTGTGTATGTGTGTGGTCTGTGTGTGTCCTCCTTAACCCGGGAAGACGGCATCCTATACCACTGTAAGCAGGGCTTGCCTTACCTACAAGCGA